TTTTTTTTTTTTTTTTTTTTTTTTTTTTTTTTTTTTTTTTGCGGTACGCGGGCCTCTCACTGTTGTGGTCTATCCCGCTGCGGAGCACAGGCTCCGGACGCGCAGGCTCAGCGGCCATGGCTCACGGGCCCAGCCGCTCCGCGGCATGTGGGATCTTCCCAGACCGGGGCACGAACCTGCGTCCCCTGCATCGGCAGGCGGACTCTCAACCACTGCGCCACCAGGGAAGCCCCGCCTCCCATTTCTGAGGCGGGGATAGGAGACCCAAAGAGGGCAAGGGTCCCACGGCTCACAGAACCCAGTTCTGCCCCAGGCTTTTCTTGCCGGCCACAGCTCACATGAAAAGCTGTGATTCACTTCGTGGAGAATATACACAGCATTCTGTGCGGCTTCAGGCACAGTTCCATCAACCCTGGGCGTTAGAAATAATGGGGTTTGTATGGGGCGCCGCAGTCAAGGAGGATGGGGGCGCTCGCTGGCTGCCAGGCAGACCCTAGGGAAGCAGGGTTCCTAAGACAGGGCTCCCGAGCGTCCTGGAACACCCATTTCCTTACCTAGCACAAATCCTTCAGCAACCCCCAGCTGACAAGTTACCCCATTCTATCTTCAGCCCTCTCAAAGTCTGACTCAACTGCTGTGTGGCCTTTTCTCGACCCCAATCGGCTTGCCTGCCGACGTCAGTTAGGGGTTAAAATCCTGTGTCAATAAAAAACAGCGTCAGCCGCGGCGGCCCCAGCGGCTCCCCGCCGCCCCCCCGGTGCGGGCCCCGCGCTGGAACGCCTCACGGATTGCGGCCGGCCTAACCGCCTTTCGGGGGGCTCGCCTCGCCTCGCCCCCACGGGCCGGTCACCGTGGCCCCAGCCCCTGTCAGGCCAGCGCCTTGGCACCCCGGCCTGTCCGACCCCGCGGTGGCCCCGGCCCACCTACCCAGGCCGCAACGGGCGCAGGACGCTCTCAGCGCAGCTAGGGTCCGGCAGCCGAGCAGCCAGCGGCCCGGCACCATGACCGAGGCGGAGGGAGGGCTGCGGCGCGAGGGGCGGGCGGGCTCTTCACGCCGGTGACGGCAAACCGCGGCCAACCAGCGCCCGCCTCCCCACCCCCGCCCAATCAGCGCTCGCATCCAAACCCGTGCCCTCAGTTCGCCCCGCCCTTCGGCCAATCAGCGCTCGCGGCCACACCGGTACCTCCTTAGCGTCCCGCCGCAGCGGGTCTGAGGGCCCCCTCTCTGAGAGGCACCTGCGCAAGAACCTCAGCCTCTCTCCGGGGAGCGGGCAGCGTCCCGAGGCCGGGCAGCCCCGGGGCAGCCACTGGACAGCCGCTCCCAAGAGGACGAGCGCCGCGACTCCCGGGTACCCGGCGTAGTTGGTCGCCTCCGGGTAGCCTTCGGCGTCCGGTGGCCAGCCGGGCAGAGTCCACGTGACTCACGGGGGCAACAGGCAGGAGCATGGCTGCCACCAGACCGCTGTCCCGCTTCTGGGAGTGGGGGAAGAACATCGTGTGCGTGGGCAGGAACTACGCAGACCACGTCAGGGAGATGCAGAGCGCCGCACTGAGCGAGCCGGTGCTCTTTCTGAAGCCGTCCACCGCCTACGCCCCCGAGGGCTCGCCGGTCCTCGTGCCCGCCTACACCCGCAACCTGCACCACGAGCTCGAGCTGGCCGTGGTGATGGGCAAGCGCTGCTGCGCCGTCCCGGAGGCCGCAGCCATGGACTACGTGGCCGGCTATGCCCTGTGCCTGGACATGACCGCCAGGGACGTGCAGGACGAGTGCAAGAAAAGGGGGCTGCCCTGGACTCTGGCCAAGAGCTTCACGGCCTCCTGCCCGGTCAGCGCGTTCGTGCCCAAAGAGAAGATCCCTGACCCTCACAACCTGAAGCTCTGGCTCAAGGTCAACGGTGAACTCAGGCAAGAGGGTGAGACAGCCTCCATGATTTTTTCCATCCCCTACATCATCAGCTACGTTTCAAAGATCATGACCTTGGAAGAAGGAGATGTTATCTTGACCGGGACGCCAAAGGGAGTGGGGCCAGTTAAAGAAAACGATGAGATCCAGGCTGGCATACACGGGGTCGTCAGTATGAGATTTAAGGTGGAAAAGCCAGAATATTGAGTGTATCCAAAGCACCCTAACTTCTTAACACGTTTCAGGGGGAAGGGGAACAAGATAAAAGCAAGAAAAGGTTATTTAATGTGATAATCCTTTCATGAGAAACCAGTTTTTTAAAATGATTGGATTGCTATGCCTCAACTCAAGGAAGATGGACCATCAGAGAAAAACTTGATCTAGAAGAGCTGGGCCAGAAATGGAAATGAGAAGCACTGCCTCCTAGGAAACAACAAGCTAAATGTTCAGAAAACTTACTTTCCTTTCCTAAAACTGGACTGGATAAGACTTCAGTGGGTCATTCTGCAACCACGTGTTCAAGACTTAAAATCTGCAAAGGAAATGGAAAAGCACGTTTCATCAGTGTTTCCCAAAGTTCCTTGATCATGAAAATCATCTGGAGGTATTTGTAAAAATTTCCAAATTACTGGGCCATCCCAGGCCTAATATATTAATTAATGGAATCAATCTCTGGCACTCCAAGTGATTCTTATGCAAATGTGGAAAAACACTACTCCACATAGTTAATTAAAAGTTTTATTTAATAAGTGAGCAATTAATGAAAACCTCACTTGTTTACTTAGGGTGTGTATTCTGGCCCATAGATTCTGAGTTCGGGAGATAATTTTGAAACTGTTGTTTCCCAACTAAATATGCTGTCTTTTGTGTGACCTAAAAGTGTACATTTTTCCCCCCAATAGTGGTTATGAGGGACACATCTCATTAAGGGGCTTCAGACCTTCGTCTTTGGCCTCCAGAATACTGTGCTTTATTAACAGAGTTAATCAGCACCTGTACCTCGCACCCAGCGATAAGGAAGCTTCAGGGAAGTCAAACTGCTTGGGAGTGCTGCTTTTGCTCTCATCTGCTCCCTTCTCTGACAAAAAGCTAAGTGAGATGCACAACACAGCTATCAGAGTGCCTGGTGGAGTCCTTTAGGCTTAGGCAGGCAGGAGCTCCTGCTGTTAGCCTAAATAGAAGGCACCTGCTGGCTCCTAACATTTATTGAGCACTTAGTACTACTAGGCACTGTGCCAAGAGTTTTCTGTGTATTATTTAATCCTCAACAAAGCTGGAGGGTGGTATTTTTACTACCATCCCTGTTACACAGACGGAGACAGATTTAGAGGCTAGCCAGCCTGGCTGTATAGTCACTCAGCTAAGTGGCAGAGCCAAGATGTAACCCAGCCATCCCAAGACCAAATCCTGAAGTCTTTTTTTTTCCGTATTTTTTTTTATTGAAGTATAGTTGATTTACAATGTTGTGCCAATCTCTGCTGCACAGCAAAGTGACTCAGTTTTACACATATAGAATTTTTTTTTTAATATTCTTTTCCACTATGGTTTATCCCAGGAGGTTGGATATAGCTCCCTGTAGGACCTTGTTTATCCATTCTAAATGTACAAAACCTGAAGTCTTGACCACAACGCAGGCTGCGTCTTTTAAGTATTTATAATTTATTATGAGGAAGTGTCATAGTTGGATTTGTTTATAAAATGTCATACTTTTATCTTTTTTGTTTTGTTTTGTTTTTTTGGCCACATCCGGGCCACAGCAGTGAAAGCCCAGTGAAAGCCCAGAATCCTAACCACTAGGCCACTGGGGAACTCCCTTTTTTTTTTTTTTCTTTTTTTTTGCGGTACGCGGGCCTCTCACTGTTGTGGCCTCTCCTGCTGCGGAGCACAGGCTTCAGACGCGCAGGCTCAGCGGCCATGGCTCACGGGCCCAGCAGCTCCATGGCATGTGGGATCTTCCCGGACCGGGCCACATACCCATGTCCCCTGCATCAGCAGGCGGACTCTCAACCACTGCACCACCAGGGAAGCCCCAGGAACTCCCTTCTTTTATCTTTTAATAACACTTCTTTTTTCAAATGCTTAAGCAATAGATGTTTATTATAGAAGACTCAGAAAATATGTATAAGCTAAAAACCAAAACACCCCAAATTTCATATGCACAGAGACAGTCCAAATTAAGCATTTGGTGTACATTCTTCCAAATCTGCAGATGTAATTGTGATCTTTTAAATAGAATTTGTTCATATCATACACTTTTCTAACCTTTTTTCACTATATATCGTGACTGTCTTTTCATGTCAGTCAGCACATTTCAGTGATTGCATATAATGAAGTCAGTCCTCCATTTTTGGTCATTGAGATATTTTCTAATTACTTACTAGTAGTTATTTCCCTTGGCTAGGTTCCCATAGTGGAAGAGCTGAATCAAGGGTATGCTTATATTGAGAGTTTATTAGTAAAACTATCAGATATGAGGTCCAGCTGAACCAAGTCTACCAAGCTGACAGATGTGAAAGCAAGCTAAAGGTACACAGCAGGAGCTGTGTTCACATATGGCCCCCTTGGGTGGACAAGCCAGCATCCAGATAATGTACGGTGCCCCTGAGGTCAATGTTTACCCAGTGGTGGCACAAGCTTTGTCACAGACAGCTGCTATCAGCATTGCAGGTATAGCACACAAACTCCTTGATTGCAGGAATCAAAAAGAGAGATACCAATTCTCATAATTCCTGATGTTGCTAAAATTGCAATAATCCTAATACCCAGAAAGTACATTTTCACCAACTTTTATTTTTTAATAAATTTAAACCTACTATAAAATTGAAAGACTAATGCAACAAACTCCATATACCCTGCACTAAATTCAACAATTGTTGACATTTGCTATGTTCATTCTCTCTCTTTCCACCCCACACCCTGTGTGTATATACACACACAAACACACACGTTTTGGAAAACTGAAAACTGGAAGTGAGTTGCAGAAACACTCTACCCTTTCAGCATGCATCTCCTAAAAATAAGGACATTCTCCTATATAGTCACAATACCCTTATCACAACTTTTTAAAAATCCATGATATTATTAGTTCATATAGAGTATATGGCTTGACATCTGTTCTTCTGGACATTTTTCTTTAATTGTTCATTAGGCATATACTCTGAATATCTTTCCAGGTCGGTGCATATTTTCATAACCACTTTTAATGACTGTGTCTTAGATCATGTACCTCAGAAGCAGAGCCTTAGGTGGGGATATTTGTTCAGGTGATTTTTAGGAGTGCTCTCAGGAGAAAGGAAGTGAAGAGGAAGTAGAAAGGCCAGGGAACAAACTAAGAAAGAACAGGGTCTCAGAACTGGAGATGAGTTTCAGTCCACTGACCATCCCAAGAGGAAGTCATTGCCAGAATCTGCTCCCCCACCTCTACTGTAACTTCCCCAGGTAATTCTCCAACCTTCATAGAAGCTGAGGGCTAGGTGCCTACGAGAGATCTGGGTGGAGCCCAACACTCCCCTAGAACAGCAGTGCCCAACGTTTCTAGCACCAGGGACCAGTTTCATGGAAGACAAGTTTTCCACAGACATGGGGGAAGGGGAAGAACGGTTTCCAGATGATTCAAGTGCATTACATTTATTGTACACTTTATTTCTATTACTATTACATTGTGATATATAATGAAATAATTATACAACTCACCATATTGCTGACAGGAGGTGGAGCTCAGGTGGTAATGCAAGCCATGGGAAGCAGCTGTAAATACAGATGAAGCTTCGCTCCCTCACAGGCCACTCACCTCCTGCTGTGCGGCCCAGACCAGGGGTTGGGAACCCCTGCCCTAGAGGTTGCATAGGTTTCAAATGCTTTGCTACTAGAAACAATGATGCAAGGAACATCCTCCATACACATTATTTGGCACTTGTTTATTTCCTTAGGGAAAGTCTTAGAAGTGAAATTTATTAAATAGTTTGCTGGTTACATTTTGATACTTTTCACCAAATTGCCCAGGGGAAAGGATATACTAATTTGTACTTGACAAGAGTGTTAAAGAATACCTTTTTGCTCACACCCTAGCCAACACTGGGTATTGTGGCTATGGTCTTTTTAATTTGTGTTTCTCTGATTAATAGTGAAGCTGATATCTTTGCATGTGTTTATACAGTTATCTTTTTTTTAATAAATTTATTTTATTTATTTTTGGTTGTGTTGGGTCTTCGTTGCAGCGCATGGGCTCTCTCTAGTTGCGATGAGCAGGGACTACTCTTTCTTGAGGTGTGCAGGCTTCTCATTGCGGTGGCTTCTCTTGTTGCAGAGTACAGCCTCTAGGCACGCGGGCTTCAGTAGTTGTGGCTCTAGGGCTCTAGAGCTCAGGCTCAGTAGTTATGGTGCACGGGTTTAGTTGCTCCGCGGCATGTGGGATCTTCCCAGATCAGAGATTGAACCCGTGTCCCCTGTATTGGCAGGTGGATTCTTAACCACTGCACCACCAGGGAAGTCCCCACAGTTATCTTTTTAACAGGACTATTGGGCACATCTTTGGTGTAAATGTTGGTGTAGGATCTGATTTCAAGGAAGTTTTATATTTCCTTTCAATACAATTAATTCATATGCTAAAACCTTCATATAT